TTTGGAAGACCAAACAAAGTAGTTTCGCTTTCACAATGAAACACAGCGTCACACACGGTGGCCTAGAGTGAGTGGCGGCGGCCTTGAGGGTGCAGAGGCCGGGGGCTAGAGTGAGGAACGGCCGGAGGGCTGGAGTGAGCAGAGGCCGGGGGCTAGAGTGAGGAACGGCCGGAGGGCTAGAGTGAGCAGAGGTTTATTAGTTAAATAATAACATTTTTAACCATCTATTAAACACACATTTATTAATTAAATTATTTATAATTATATAAAATTATCACTAGCTGCATAAATAAATTACATAATGTAAAAATGATCAACACTTAAGACAGATTGATAATAAAATAACACTAATTTTATGAAAATAAAATAGCAATAATAATATATTTTAATTATTAAAACATTAATATTTCATTATAATTATAATGTAAAATTATCATCAACACTAAACACAAACAGCTAATTATATAATTAATAAATAATTATCAACACTATTAAAAAAAGAAACTTTTTTTTCATAATTGAAAAAAAATAATTGTGAAAATTCTCTGGTATTGTTCTCGACTACCATTCTGGTACAGTAACAGCTCTATTATGGCGTTATTTTAATGACAAATGTCGAGAGTGCATTATTGTAGCGCGAAAGCACATTAATACAATGCGCAGGAAAGGCCCTGCACAAATCTGTTTTGAGACTACTTTTTAAAAGTGCATAATGATAACCTTTGACAATGTTTAATTCAGGTGCGAAAATAATTCATATCTATAGCGCATGAGCACAGAGAGATTTGAGAGTGCGCAGGACACAGTTTGAGTGAGAGGAGACACATTTTAAGTGCGTGCACTCTCTCTGGGCGAGAGCAGCGTGTATCTGAGCGCGCGCGTCCGGTTTTGTGCGAGAGTAAAGGAAATCCGCGCGCTCGCGGAGAGATTCGCGGTCGCGCATTGTATTAATGTGCTTTCGCGCTACAATAATGAGCTCTCGACATTTGTCATTAAAATAACGCCATACTCTATTTATCTCTAACCTGGATGATTTTGGAGAGCTCATCGAATGAGGTCTTGCAGTCTCCGCTGTATTCCTGTGCCAGCTGCTGAATGTACCGATTGACACTGGCAGTGGAGGTGCCGAGACCAGCGCCTGCTCCTGTATCATCCTGTGAAGAGCCATGAAAACATGAACACACCCAAAACTCATTTGGGTAATTCAAGAGAGAAAAGTCATTGATTTGTCTGAAGCAGAAGCTGACACACTGACCTGTGGTTTCTCAGGTGCAGCCTCATTTACTTTAGACAGCAGACTCTCCAGCTGCGGCCGGTGACCCATGAGCTGGTGGTAAACACGGTCAGCCTTGTCTAGTAGAGTGTTGATGTTGGTAACAGCCTGGACACGATAAATCATTAACATACGTTTTAGTAAGTGGACTTGTAATTTCAATGCAATTTCGGCATATGTGTTTAAATTTAGACTATTCCTCACTTGACCAGGTCTGTTTGTGTCTTTTGTTTGTAGCTGTACACATTCCTGTTTTACATTACACAATGCACATAAATGGACATTAGATATTTATGCCTGCTCTACCTTTTTCCTATCTTCTTCGTTTTCTATAGGATCCACAGCACAGCAGGGTTTTGCATACAGCATGAAGTCAAAGCGTGCATATTTACAGAAACCACAGGCATTGCACAGGAATGGGTCCTTCTCATCATAATTAATGGATCTGGAAAATTCAAAACAGACAATTCCAACCTCAATTTTACTGCAATTCTGTCAGTTTTCTTGGGTCTTTGTACAATATTCAAACCATGCATACCTGCACTTGTGGCACTGATACACATTCTCTCCACAGTTGCCACAGACTCCTGGATTGGCAGGGACAGAGGCGCTGCAACGAGGACACTGCAGGGTCTCCGTAGACGCCTGGTAGTTCTCATAGAAATCAGAGAATTCGATCATCAGGTTGGAGGCCACAATGGGGAGAGGGAGGTCAATCTTCACTTCAGTTTGGCCAGGGGTCAACTGCACCTTCTTAGCTTTGTGCCAGCGAGCAGGTCTGCGAACACAAATTTCAAATTATCTCAATTTATCATCAAATGTCTACAAACATTGTTCCAAAAAATTTGAAGAGTCTGATTAGTATGCTCACTTGTTCTTCAGCTCTACAATAGCTTGTACAGTCCTGTTGTTGTAGTAAAGGTTGATCGTGCGAACCATCTTGGTTCTCTTAAGATCACCAATCTTCACAGTGACTTTGCTGATAGTGTGGCTGCCAATCAGCTTCACCACTTGCTGAGTGGTGGTGTAACGCGTGTCCACTTTGATAGATGAGAGTTTGATGTTCTAAGAACACAGGGAATAAAGTAGTCCAACATTTAGAACCATAGCAACTAAAACATCCATTAAAAGTGACATGTCATGAACATCACTCACAGAGAAGGGCACTTCAGGATTGTTGCACACCAAGCAAGGATCACTCTCTAGGTAAAATCCATCAAATTCCACCAGTCCAGAGAGGGTGCTGAGAAGGTAAGTGTGAAAAAATTAAAAATTAAGGGATGTTATCGCATCCATGACCCAAAATACCCCAGTCCAATGAGAGCATGCTGGGAACACTTACTTGTATATATTTGAGTTGGGATGATTGGTCAGGATGTGGTTCTGTGCCCTCAAAATTTCTACAGCCTTTTGAGAGTATTCCTTCAGCTGGAAAACACAGAATCAAAACATTAGCTGCAAGGCAAAACACTCACACTAACATTTTAAATCTTATAAATGACCAACCTATTACACTACCACTCAAAAATTTGGGTTTAGTAAGATTTTTTTTTTCATTATTTTCTTTTGAAATAAATGTATACTTTCATTCAGCAAGGACACATTACATTGATCAAATGAAAAATTTGCGATGTTATGAAACATTTCTATTTGAAATAAATGCAGTTCTTTTGAACTTTATAATCAAAGAAACCTGAAAAAAATATTAAGAAGCACAACTGTTTGTTTAATTTAGTATTACATTATAAAATATATTCAAATAGAAAACAGTTATTGTAATATTTCACAATGTCACTCTTTTTACTGTGTTTTTTAATAAATGCAGCCCTGGTGAGCATAAAAACATCTTTAAGAAATACGATCCTAATCTGACCCCAAAATTTTGAACAGCAGTGTATGTTCATAAATTATAAATCAAATTCTACTCAGTCATTTAATACCGAATCACATATTCGAGTATCACTACCTTCTTTTCCGTCTGAGGTGTTTTAAGCGAGAAGTATCCAAGTAGGTCCACAAACTGAGCTGCTTTACGACCATAAGCTGGTAGTTCTGGCCAAATGGCCCACATCAGGTCAAGCAGCAAGTCCTGCTGGGATTTGTTTGAGTTCCTGCAAGGTAAATATTCATTTGATTTAACATGATGGAACTTCTGGACCACGTTCAAAGCACAAGACATGAGAGAGTGTGTTTAGGGAAGGTGCTTGCATGTAGTATCTAAGTACCTGTAGATATGCAGTGTGAGGCAGTGGGCTTGCCAGCGCACAGATGAAGAGTTGGACTCGAGCAGGAAGCAACGCAAGAATTGAATAAGCGTCTCCTTATCTGCAAATTTATTGAGCTGACTGACCAGAGCTGTACACAGCTGATCTTCCTGACTGCCAGCTCCATCTCCTGCAGAAAACACAAAAGGAACATTGAAAAAAGTGCCATTTATTATTATTATTAATCCTAATGATAGTTGGGTATTGCTCAAAGATCATCAGACCTTCTTTGTCTTTTTCCTTGTCCTCTTTCTTGCTCTTCTTGCTGGATGATTTGCTCTGAGAGGGCTGAGATGAACCTCCAGAACCTCCACCTGAAGCTCCAGAGGAGGAGGCCGCCAGGACTTTACTGCCACATAAAGCACAAGAGAGCAGCTGCAGCAGGACCGGAGAAACACCCTCATCCACCAGGAAACTCACTTGCAGCAGGAAGTACAACACCGCTACATAGAGTGAAAGAATTCGATTAGTACCACAAGTGACGCCAAGCTCATGGGTTCGATCCTAGGGAAAGCAAGAACTGCAAATGCAAGTCACTTTGGATAAAAACATCTGCCAAATGCATAAATGTAACGCTGGACCACAAAACCAGTCATAAGGGTAATTTTTTTCTGAATAAATAAGTTTTCCATTTATGTATGGTTCGTTAGGATAGGACAATATTTGGCCGAGATACAACCATTTGAAAATATGGAATCTGAGGGTGCAACAAAATCAAAATATTGAGAAAAATCGCCTTCAAAGTTGTCCATATGAAGTTCTTATCAATGCATATTACTAATCAAAAATTAACTTTTGATATTTACGGTAGAACATTTACAAAATCTCTCCATGGAACATGATCTTTACTTAGTATCTTGACTTTTGACACAAAATTTTGACACGATGTATTTTTGGCTATTGCTACAAATATACCCGTGCTACTTATGACTGGTTTTGTTGTCCAGTGTCACAAATGTAAAAGTAGGCCACATTGTACACTTACAGTCATCCTTCATGCAGAACTTCTGCCAGTTGATCGTTCTCTGAGTGGCTATTTCAGCACATGCTTTAAGGTGCTCCATCTGTGTAAAAGGAAGAAAGTTCATGCTAATCCGAACTCAAAGAAGAGTAAAATTCATAGGGCATCACACAAGCCTGTTTACTCACCAAACTGATGAGTGTGTCATACTGTAGAGCAGAGCCAGATGTCGCAGTCACGATTCCTCCCCTCAGGAAGATTCCCTGCTCCTCCAGAAGCTTCTTGATGCCCCGCACGTGGGAGTCAAGCGTGTGGAGATCTCGGAGTTGACGGTACTTCTCTTTGGAGCCACAGATGAACAGCAGGAGCTTCCTCACTTGTCGCCTCACAAACGGCGTCTGCTGGATCATCAGATACTGGAAGATGATTGAAGAAAGTTGATTCATGCTAAATTATTCACTGAAAACTCTCCAGCACAGGCCAAAAGTGAATTACGTGCATTACCTCTGACAGGAAATAGAACCAGGAGTGATCAAAGATTGGCGGTGGGATGCGCGGGTTGGCGTCTGCGATTTTCTTGATCTGGTATGGCAGTCGGAGAACCATCTCGGTGAGAAGCTGAGAGTACGCTTCAAACACATCAGCAGCATGGCCCTGAGAAACACCCATAATTTAAAGATCATGATTTTTCTTATGCAATACATATACACAAGAGCAAGATTTTTAAGACCCAGCCTGTACCTTGACATACTGACGCAGGAAGAAGGGGCTCATGTCTGGGGGTGAGGAGGAAGTGTGGGGTTTTAGGAGCTGACTGGTGGCCGTTGGCTCCTCCTCGCCCTGCTGAGTCTTCCAGAACTCCAGCAGGGATTTGAGCACATGCAAGCAGTAGTCTATCGCTCCCATGCTGAGCAGAGCGGTAGCTGTTGCATTGGAGATGAGAGAAGACGACTGGCGAGAAAACAGAGATGAAACTGAATTATTTAACGGTTTTCACATTCACTGCTCTGCAAACTGAACCTGGTAGAAACATGTAAACACTTCCTGAAGCAAAACAGTGTTAATGTAAGCTTATGTTCAAGACAGGAAGACTAATCTAAAATGGAGTATGCAAATAGGTATAAAAAAAAATAATAATAAAATTAAAAAAAAAAGAGGAGGAAAGCCAAATTCCAATCAAATAGTGTGGCTGCCAATCAATGTTGTCAGGGACATATTAAATGCTGACCATTTTATCAAATGTAAATTATTGGCAGATTTCTTAAAAGTATACTTCAATAATACATTTCCTAAAAATATATAAGAAAATAAATGTAACCCTGGACCACAAAACCAGTCTTAAGTCGCTGGGGTATATTTGCAGCAATAGCCAAAAATACATTGTATGGGTCAAAATTATTGATTTTTCTTTTATGCCAAAAATCATTAGGATATTAAGTAAAGATCATGTTCCATGAAGATATTTTGTAAATTTCCTACTATAACTATATTAAAACTGAATTTTTGATTAGTAATATGCATTGCTAAGAACTTCATTTGGACAACTTTAAAGGCGATTTTCTACATTTTAGGATTTTTTTGCACCCTCAGATTCCAGATTTTCAAATAGTTGTATCTCGGCCAAATATTGTCCTATCCTAACAAACCATACATCAATGGAAAGCTTCAGACGATGTATAAATCTCAATTTCGAAAAATGTACCCTTATGACTGGTTTTGTGGTCCAAGGCCACAGATGACAGTTACATTTTATTTCTCAAATAATTAAAAACGGTTAAATGTTAAAAAAGGAAGTATCATTTTTTTAAAAGAAAGAAAGTAATGCTTTTATTCAGCAAGGATACATTAAACTAATATGAAATTATTTGCCAATGTTCTATTAACCGAAGGTTAAATATTAAGCAGCACAACCATTTTACCATTGATAATAACAATAAGGAATGTTTCTTGAGCAGCAAATCAGCATATTACAATGATTTCTGAAGGATCGTGTGACACTGAAAACTGGAGTAATGATGCTGAAAATTCAGCTTTGCAACCACAGGAATATATTACCCTTTAAAATATATTCAAATGCGAAACTATTATTTTAAATTGTAAAATTTCACAATATTACTATTTTTACTGCGTTTTTTAATCGAATAAATGCAGCCTTTGTGAGCATAAGAGAGAGAAAAATCTTATTGACTCGTCTTATCTTTTGACTGGTAGTTTGGAACGAAGTTTAATTCTCAGGATTTGTGGTTCAAAAAATAATATTTAAACCTTTTAAACCTTTTGAGCACTGTATTACCAGACTGAAGCTGAGAGTTACCTCAGAGGAGGATTTTGAGCCAGACTTGGTGCGGGACATAAAGACACTGAGGAGCCTCATGATGACCAGGTGCACCTCGTTTATGGAGTTGCGCTCATTCTTCTTTGAAACATCCTGGAAACCAAAAATGACACAATCCATATTCTGTTTCCATACAAGACAAATGCATTAAGAAAAAAGTTCTTTCTTAATGTAGTCTCACCTTCTTATGCATGCTGAGCTCGGCGATGAGCTGGGCCAGAAGGTCATCCAGTGCTCCCTTGTCTTTCTCGTCCTCTCCATCCAAATCTGTGGTCAGCATGAGGATGATCTGCATGTAGGGGATGGCCTGAACTCCACCTACAGTGTGGAGCTGGGGCAGATGCTGCAAGAGACGCTCTAAGAGCATCAAACGCACCATGTGCAGCCTGGAGAAAGGAGTGAGACAGTACATAAAGGGCATTTTATTCTAGTTTATAGTAGGAAACAAGTGCTCCATCATGTAGACAGACCTGTTGCTGGTGTGGATGTCGCCCTCTGTCTCTCCTTCGCCCTCTGATCCATCTCCTTCATGCTGGGCCGTGGTGGTGCTGATGGCTCCTGTGCTGGAGCTCACGCTGCCCGGCCCTGCAGGGTGTCCTTCAACAGTTGTGTCCCCATAAGCACTGCTGCGGCCAGACACTGAAACACACACATCATCCTGAGTTGATGAAACTTTCCAAAACAATCCACTTCAAAATAATTTACATTCAAAAACATCAGACAAACAGTAAAAATCCAGTCTTACCATTGTGTTCTCCTGCAACAGAGTCGATGGCGCTGCCGCCGCTCTCAGAGCCCACGCTGCCCCCGTGCTCGGCGGGAGAGGTGCGCAGCGTGGAGCCGTCTGTGGCCGCTGTGCTCCCCTCATCATCCGAGGCTGGGGCTGAAAGCATAACCAGAGCTGTTACAGGAAAAAAACAGCAGGCTTTGCTAAGGGGGGTTTCTAAAGGTGCACACAAATATATACATAGAAAAACAGCCATATGTTTGAAAATTATTGTAATTGAAAGGAATAATGGGACATGAAGGGATGACAAGAGGAATGCTGGGTGAGCATGCAGTAAGCATGACAGAAAGTAGGGGTGGACAATCTTCCCAAAATATCATCACAATTTTTTTTTTTAACTCAATCACGATCTGAATCACAATCTTCCCAATTTTGAGATGTACTATTGAGAATATCCAGACTGGAACAAGCCTATGGACTTATCAATTTGCACAATTTAAAACACAGTATTGCATTAAACAATCAGCTGTCAAAATGGTCATTAAAACCTAAGTTAAACTTAAATCACTGCATAGTCTTCACTATATGAATTAAATGGATTCTTATTAAAGCTACTAAAGTTATTCAGTCAAGAGCACTGAATGATTTTCTCTCTTTTGTTTGATTAACATTAATGACAGAGACAGCAGCAGGTATTTCAGTAGACTGAATGCACAGATCTAATATACTGACGCATTTCTTTTCCAACCGTTTATGTTCACTTGCGACATAACTGACTGACTTAATGTAAATACTTGAGATGGACATTGAGATATTTTTTGTGTATATTTGACCATTTAGGCATGCACCTGAAACCTCAAATATACTTTGCTTGTTCATGTTCCGCTCCATTTGAAATCAAAACAGAACGAAACATTTGATTTGTCACACAGCTCTGCTGCTAGCTCACGCTAAAATGTTTTTCAAATGTGTCACAACGAATTTAAGACACATGATACAGACATATGGTATAAATTGGCCAGCCAGCACAGCCATCTAGCAGGCAGTCATTGCTGTAGTTTTATTATTATATTATTACAAGGGCATAAAAGACCACAATATAAAATTGTCAGATTGTCCACCCTGACTGAAAGAGTGTCTTGTGGAGAGATGGGTGCAGTTACCTGATGCAGTGGTGTCTGAAAGGGTTCCTGCGTCCAGGGATGAGGAGCTTGGGGCCTGACCAGATAGGCCCAGACTCTGTAGGCCCAAAGCACTGCTGCTGCTGCCTGCAGAGATAACATACACTCCACATTAGACAAGGAATGACCATATGCACTACCAGTCAAAAGTTTGGAACAATTACGATTTTTAATGCTTTCTTTTTTTCTTTTTTTTTAAGTCTCTAATGTTCAACAAGACCGCATTTATTTGCTGAATACAGTAAAACAGTAATATTGTAAAATATGATTACAAAGAACAGTTCCCATTTTAATATGTTTTAAAATGTATTTTTTCCTGTGATGGCAAAACTGTAGCGACTTCAGAAAACTCAGTTTTGCCATCACAGGAATAAATTAAGTTTTAAAATATATTATAAATATAAATATATAATAATATAATAATTAAATATATTATAGATATATAATAATATTTCACAATATCACTGTTTTTGATCAAATAAATGCAGCTTTGGTGTGCATAAGACACTTAAAAAAATAAAATAAAAAGTACTAATTCCAAACATTTGACCAGCAGCGTCCATTTCATCAGAGGACAGAAAAGTGTAAACAGTGACCTTGCTGGTCTTGTTGCAGACTGAGAGCTATAGCCAGCTCCACCATGGTCTCATCATCAGCGTCTGGAGGGATGTCCAGCATGGGTGGGAAGCCCTCCGCCCCTGCTAGCAGAGCTTCAAGAGGAGAGGGGTTTCCATTGTTCACATTCTCAGCCGTCTCCAGGACCATAGACTCAGACTGCAGATCAAACACAGAGAGGAGAGGATTACATAACAACCGCCTTCTTTACATACAGTAGCAGACCTGCCAACCTTTGAAAAATTTTTTGAGTACCATCAGTGTTACCGGGGGGTCATATAGCCTATTCCTACATTACTTGAAGCTCCTTGATGGCTAATGTCAAAATCGTAATTGCACAATGTGCAAAATGCTAGACTTCATGTTAAATATTTTTCATAGGTTAGTACTCAAGACTCTGCACTCAGTTTGTGATATTCCTGTTATACAGTATTATTACAGTATTTTAGAGTAAACAGTAGGAATGCAACAATACAGTTAGCGCAGGGTTCAATAAATACCTCAGTTTTTTAAACGCAGCTTTCAGTTTGGTTCTGATGGTTTGGCACAACAGAGTTCTTTTTAGCGATTTGAAATGCTATTTAAAAAAAAAAAACTCCAGTACATTGTTGTACACTGTAGAAAAACATGGATTATCACATGTCTACCTTAAATTTATTTTGAGAGAAGTATTATTTTTATAGATTGGCCATTATTTAGTGCTATGAACACATGTAATGTCTGTTTCATTCATACTGGATACTAGAGGGCGCCCCTGCGCAGAAAGTCCACATATGCATCAGCCAAGAAATAGAGCTCATGACTCCAGGAAATACCATACACGTGTTTCCTCATCTCAGCGCACGACTCACGGACACACAAACGGAGCCAGTTTGGAGAGAAATAAAAAAACACGGAAAACGCTCTGATTGGTTGAACTCCTCATCTTTTTCTGTTGCTTGTTTACTGCGCGTGGACAGGTCACCGGGTTTTTGCATAGTTTAGAGTGACAAATCGTACCAGCGTACTTTAAGGTCAAAATGCATACCCGCTACGCAAAATGCGTACAGGTTGGCAGGTCTGCAGTAGTTTGGACTTTGGACAAAGACTTACTTTAAAGCAACTACCTCCATCTCAAATATTTCATTACAGTGTTCAAAACAGATGTTTTGGAAACTTTTTGGGGGGCATTTAAAAGCATGAATTAGACTTTTTAGTGTTCTCCGTTTACTTGATGAATCCATTTGGGCAAAGTTAGTTGATTGCTGTTGTTTTCTTCCTGATTAATTGTGCACATTCTGGAATATGAAAAAACTTTAACACACCTTGACTTGTGATGATTATTTGTTCATTACGTGGTATATTATTATATAATTAGATGACCTTGCATAATTTAAAGATGATCATTATTATTGCCCAAAAACTTTCCTTACATTTTTTTTTAATTATCGATTCAGTACATGTTAGTTTGCTTGCATACATACATATCACAGTCTAATCATTGTCATATTAACACTTCTAAGTGTCCAACAGCTGGACTCATAGTGGTTGCCAAACTCACCACCATCTCAAAGTCTCCGTGGTCCACCTCGCTTTGTTCTTGACTCTCCTGCCTGCCGCTTTGCCCTCCCGTCATGTTGGAGGGCTGCATCTTCTCATCAGCATCATCATCATCGTCGTCATCTTTATCTCCTAGGACATGAAAGCACAGCAACACATTATTTTTGGGGCTGATTCATTGTGAGGTGTTTGTATGATTCACAAGTCACAAAGCTGAAAGGCACAGCTCATACCCATGGGCGTGTTGGACCGTGGAGGAGAAGGCAAGGTCACATGCCTGCGTTTGTTTCTGGGTCTCAAAACTCTAATCAGAGTTTGTTTGCAAGCAAAGCTCACAGAGATGTCCTGTAGATGAGAAAGATGTAAGAATTGCAATATTAATTGTTCTCAATGTATGGATTATGGAGAAGAACGACAATAGAACACGTACAGGGCAGAGCAGCATCTGCATGTAGATTTTAGATGCCACATTGATGTAATCCAGCTCACAAGTGCAGTAACCGTGGATGATATCAACCAGTGCATTGACTGTGGCTTCAATGTGAGTTAGACCTAAATGAAAAACGTAAAAATGTGTCAGATTCCTAAAACAATAAATCAATGAACTCCCATGTGTGTCTAAAATCAATAAATACCACTGTGTGACTATGTACCTGGCAAACAGGCGGGAGCCAAAAAAGCATTCTTTGGTTTGAGAGCATGAAGCTTCCAGAAGTTAGTGACCAGCTGCATGATGAAGCTACAGCTCTCGGTATCAGCTTGTTTCAGTCCATCCTTCCCATCATCACCTACATCTGAAGAGAAAAAACACTGACTTTATGAAAAGGCACATAAAAGGACAACAAGATGAACGTCTAAGAGGTTCAATGGGTGTACCAGTGTCTGACTGAGGAAGTCTGGACTCGGTGAAGTGCACAAGATTGTTGGGTCTCATGATGGCGATGGAGCGGGCTGTGATCACCAGTCTCTGGAACACATCAGGGTCCAGCTCCTTTCCTTCTTTACTGCAGCTGTTCAGACACTGTACTGCGTTGCTAAGCAGAGACTGATCCTAAACACAGATTAAGCACCAGTTAGAAAGCAGAGCTTAACGATATGGTGATTCATGTCTAACACCGGATAAAGTTCTGATCAGCAGCGATCATGCTTGTACCTTGTGGTTGTGGTAGGCTGTGCGGCTGGTGTGCAGGCTAGCCAGAAGGCTTTTGGTCTGCTGCTGTACTCCAGCAGGAGTGGGGATGGACAGGAGGAGAGTGGCCAACTCTAGAGCAGCAGCTTTATTTTTCTCCTATAGATTGTAGGTATGGAAAAATCACAAGCAAATGAAAACCATCTGAACACCCAGCAAAAAGCAGTGCTGTAATCTTGCATTAAAACTATTAAAAATAGTTTCTGTTAACTGAAATAAAATATAAAATAAATAAACATAAAATGAAAAACTGAACTAAAAAGTACTAAATTGTAATAAGAACTAGAAGTACTAAAAGTACTAAAACTGAAATAAAAATAAATGAAATTAGAAAATGAAATAACATTTTTTTTTTTTAAATGTGAAAAAACTAAATAGAATTTAAAATAATATAAATAATTTTTTTATTCAATTAATAATTTAAAGAAGCCAATTCAAAATATTAATAATTACTGTTATACTAAAATAACAGTGGCTTTAAAGGAGTCATATGACGTTGCTAAAAAGAACACTTTTTGTGTATTTGGTGTAACGAAATGTTTAACGTGGTTTAAGGTAAAAAACAAAACACATTATTTTCCAAATACCGTGCTCCTCTCTGCCCCACCTTTCTAAAACGCGTTGATTTTTACAAAGCTCATCGTTCTGAAAAGCTGATTGGCCAGCTATCCAGTGCGTTGTCATTGGCCGAATCCCTCAAGCGTGTGACGGAAATGTTACGCCCCTTACCATATTACTGTATACATTTGGGCGATGTTATGCAAATCTTCCCACACAGTGACATAGATTTGTGGGGGCGTGTTTGAATGAGGTGTTTTAGGAGGGCGTGGATGAGTCTTAACTTTTAGAAAGAATATCTCTTTGGGTTTGAGACTTTAATCTTTGTGAAAGGAAAACATGAAATCGCGCCATATGACCCCTTTAAGTTACCACAAAACCAATATTTCAAAGGTGCCATAGAATGCATTGATACAATATTTTAAATTGTTCTCTGATATCTACATAGAAGGTATGTGGCTTAGGTAAGGGCAAAAAATCTCCAGAAATGGTTTTACATGTCCATTTACAACCCTAGGATTTGTCCCTAGAATGAAATGGCCTGTTTTTACCTTATTTGGAAGGGTCATGAATAATAATGTTGAGCTCTGCTCTGATTGGCTGTTTCACAGTGCAGCTCAATGTTGAGCTCTGCTCTGATTGGCTGTTTCACAGTGCGGATCATTTCAGTAGCTCACACAGCATGAAGGAAACACAGGGAAAATATATATTTCAATACTCTCTCTCGCAGTTATATCGTTGGGTAATTATACTGTATATAAAATGCGGGCATCAGGGAGCCGCTATTAATATATTCGAATGAACGATCGCTTTTTACTTTCGAGATTTGTGATCGCACGTGCTCTGTGTAAACTACAGCGGCAGTACTTAACACATATTTTACAAGATCAGATGCTTGTCAGTGGTGCTCAGGATCTGTAAATCATTCACCATCATCCTCAGTCATCTCTCCTTACTCTGTTTATGTGGTAAGTGAAATCTTATGTCCTGTAACAGGCTACCACTAGCAAGCAGCTAACCATGTCCCTTTAGTGACTCGCGTTATTTTATTAGAACGTTATTTGTTTTCCGTGCCTTTCTGAATACAGACACCAACACATCCCTGCACAGCCTGGAACATAACATTTATTTCCATGATCTGCCATTTTCGCTATTATCCTCGCTTGTTTCTTCACAATACCTGCAGAACTTCTGATGATTCGGCTGTGCAGGTTCGGCTGGTGGCTGGATCTTATGTGAGCGTACATCATTTTAAACATGTATTCTAACTTTGGATCACCTGGTACTGGTACTTTTGATATCCCTAATCACAAAGAGAACAAGATTTCCTCACCTTTTCATTGGGGGAACCCACAGCAAAGCAGCTCTCTAGAGCTTCCAGTGAGCTGACCACCAACCTAGAGATCAGACAACAGTTAGATAGGGAAAACGATGCATAATATTAAAATGATAGCAGTCCACACCAACATAATCCAATTCTACATCACTCTCAAACATTGCCATATTCAAACCATAACACACTATCAAACGTTAAAAGCATTAAAGTAAAACACCTATTACTAATTGTAAATATTACTAATACACCTTTACTAATGTCTTTATAAATGCTGTAATTGTCCTGCATGATCTACACCAGAGCAAGCTCAGTCTGACTGCTGTCTCTCACACACACACACACACACGCACACACACACGAGCAAACCACCATGCACACAAGCAGAGAAAGGGCGGTTACTAACCGGTCCAAGGCTGATAAGGACTCAGTTTCACAACTTTTTTTTATTTTTTAGGGAGCAAAGAAAAAGAAAAATGTGTGAGGATCACAGAAAAGAAATGCGTAAAAATGATTTGTATGTCAAACACAGGAAACGTAAGCATGCGAGCACGAGGTCATTATGATGGCAGCCATGCACTGGACACATCACGCACACCCCCTCCCCCACTCCCTTCTCTCTCCCCTGCTCTTTGTTTCAGTTACGTCAATTGACATCAATTACGGGCACTCTTGAGACAATAATACAGATTAAATGCAGTGAATTAAGTGAAATGAAGACAGAGATAGAATACATTTTCTCTACAGGAAATCATATTAATTAATAGGTTGAAATCAGAGCACCCAGACTTAGGAGAAAAGTATACCTCTCCAGTACAGTGCCGCTTGTAGTGATGGGGCTGGTGATGTCACTGTCTCCGGTGCCATTACCCTGATTTAGGTTGGGGCTGCACACGTTGTTGACTGCAGCTGAGGGGAAGTCCTCTGGGGGCTCATCTGGCCATCCGAACTGCTCTTTGGTTTTGCCATAAATCTTAATGGAGTCCAGCATGGTGACACCTGCTGGGTCGACTGAAGCACCAACTGAAACAAAAAACATCAGAATTATTAATTATAATCACCACTAATGTTAAAAGCTTAAATGCATGGAATTCAATTTTAAAAACAAAAGTTGATTAAAAATTGCAATCGGTCATTTATATAAATTACATATATAAATATATTAAAAGTGTTTTTTTTTTATATTTTTTTTATTATGGCACACTTATAATTTTATTTAACAATATAATATTCAGATTTTTTTTTTTTAATCATGTAATTGTATTTTTTAATCTAATTTAATCTAATAATGTAATTATTTTTCTTTTTGTTTTGTCTGTTGGGCTCTTACTGAAAATGGAGAGCTTCTTGTCTGCCTGTAGGGCTTCCTCGCGAGTGAAAGGGAAGTCAAACCAGCGGGAACGTGTCAAGTTGAGCTGCATGGTGCGCCCAAAGATTTCAATGTAAGAGGGAGCTCGCTCAATGGCCTGAGTGCCCACCTGCACCCTCATTCCTGTCATCACCATTGAGTTGTTATTGTTCACTACTTCCACTGTGAAACCTCCAGGCTGTTGACAGGAACCAACATAAATGACTCAAAGTGAGAATGTCTTAGCGACCTATTAATGATAATTTCTAAATGATACTGTAGCTGGAATCCCGTTTGTTACCTTGGTGTTAGCCACATACATCCCTGTAGAATTTAGACGGTGTTTGATCTGTTGGCCGTTGTAGACCTGCAGCAAGTCATTGCCTCCAAACTCCACCTCTGTCAGCTGCTGATTGTGCTCGAAGAAGTCCACAGGGAAAGTAACTTGGCTGGATGTGCGTGTGGCTGATGAGGAAAAACACAAAATGCAACATAAATCTCTCTAAACAACACTAAACAATGTCATTAGTCAGAGCAAATGTGGCGTGACTCACTGGCCGTGGCTGTCTTGCGTTTGCGGACGGGTTTCATGATGCTGATCACACTGCTAGGCTGAAGGGAGGGCTGGAGCCAATAGGACGTGTTCTCCACGTTGGCCATGTATATACGGAGACTGCCATCTTCACACAGCAGTATCATGGTGGTGCGCTGCTGCTCGTTGCTTGCTGTGTGACGGATTGCAACCATGTCCTGAATCTTAGGGGAAGAGAGAGAATTGTTTATTTGTGTTTGCACCCTATTAGGATTTATTGTACACAATTTTGCCCATTCCAGCCTCTGGTACCCTGGTATTGGTACTAAATTTGGTTGGGTGATTTTAATGCCAAGCAGCCTTCTTTGGGTATTTTCATGTTGTGTAATTCAGGGTTTACGTAGACATTTCTTTGAAAGTGTTTGCTGAGTAACAATTTCCTAAGAGAACTTTAGCCATGTTTAATAGATATTGGACTCTGGTATGAGGAGCACAGCAGTGGATATTCATTAACTTGTGTGTGATACTGGAATGTTCTATTCGGTATGTCCAATTTGGGACTCAGGTAACTATGGAAACTAGGAATGCAATTTTAATATAGACTGATAATAATAATTCAGTGTCAACATGCATTTAATCAATTTCTGGCATTCAATAATCATCAAAATGCACCAGTAATGCAAACTAATCTCAACACTAATCTTTTTAATTGTTATTAAATATTTATTATTTGTACTTTTAAAACAGACAATAATTTTAATATAGATAGATAATAAAAATTCAGTGTCAATATGCTTTTAATCTCAATTTCTGGCAATCAATAATCATCAAAATGCACCAGTAATGCAAACTAATCTCTACACAAATCTTTTTTTAATTATTATTAAATATTTATTATTTGTACTTTTTTAATGCATAATTTTATAACATTTCCAAGGCTGTGATATTATATTTAAAGTTAAATGTGATTAATCACATTTAACATTATTAATAGCAATTAATTAGTGAGCATATGCTAGCCACAGGAAGTGAGCAAAAACATTAGTGCAGCCTCAGAAGTGGTGGGCAGGGGGGAACAAAAATACAAAACAACAGATGTTACATTAAATGATTCACACTTATCACAGAAATCAATCCGTTTTTGTTTTGTTTTTTACAATAAAATATTCAAAGTTTCACAATATATATTCTATACTAGGAAATTCTAGGAACTGACCTTAGCTTTTGCAGGCAGGGTTTTGATCTCCTGGATGAGGAACGTGTCTGGTTTTACCATGATGACCAGCGGGATTCCTGTGGTCTGCTGGACACAGCACACCAAGCCTGGGTGGTTCATGACTTCTGACCACTGACAGAGAGCTGGAGACGTCTTACTACCTCCATTAGATCTGCATGTGCAAGAGAACAAACAATAGAGAAAAACTAAACACTTGAGAGAAAGAGTGCTACAATCTAATTTTAAGATTGAACTTTTCTGTACAAATTTAGAAGGGGAATCCTACCCTTTGACACTGATGGTAAAGAGTCTCCGTGTTTCCATGTTGCTGCAGCTCACTGTGGCAGCGAATGACTTGCCCTGACTGTAGCTGAAGAAGAGCATCTGCAGGACGTGGGAGTAATACACAGAGACTCCGCCTCCAGCCACCTGGCCATTACTGTCCTGCGAAGCAAACACACAACAAACTCAGCATGCGGTCACACTCAACGCATTCTGAATCCACTTGGTTAACTTATTGCTGTCTATCTGACTATATAGGAAAATATAACATTGTAAAACCTTCAGATCCTCGTGGCTGATCTCCAAAACATTGGTGACGTAGAAAGGGCCGTGCTGGGCACTGCTGGACTCATCCATCACCTGGGTGTACATGTAGCCCGCTGAGGACATGATCACGATGATGTTTTTGCCCTCCTCGTTGAACAGGAATGTGGCATCTCTGATCTTTGAACTTGGTAGCAGGAAGTAGTACATGGGGCTCAGGGCATCCACAGATAAGTCATAAATCTGCAAAAAATAGTGATTTACGGGACATTACTTTTTATAGAACTGATGACACATGACTATATAGGCAAATTTGTGTCACTTTTGAGGATAAAGATTTGTTTTTTTGGCATTTTGCCTTTATTAAGATCGGGTAGTGTAGACTAGACAGGAAGTGAAGTGGGAGAGAGAGAAGGGGGTGGGATCGGGAAAGGTCCTCAAGCCGGGATTCGAACTCAGGACGCCCGCAACACTACGGCATTATATGTCGACGCACTGCCAACAGAAAACTTAAAAATTTAAATTGTAATAATATTTAACAATGATAATGTTCTTACTATTTTTTCGACCAAATAAATGCAGCTTTGCTGAACAAGAGAGACTTTTAAAAAAATATTACTAAGCCCAAACATATTTTTAATTTTTTGAATATATATTTTGTTTACAAACTAATTGGTCGTTTATATGCACGAGAACAGATGATTATTGGCCAAATTTTGGCCAGGCCAATATATATAAGCAGTTCCATAACAAGTACAATTACTCACCTTGACAAAATCAGCAGTGATGATAGCCAATTCAGTCTGTGATCCAGGAAGCCATATGGCCTTGATGATGAAGTTTCCAGTGGCAAGTTGAGGATGCAGGACTAAGTGATCTGAGACGGAGCCTGTGCTGCTGAATGTCAGAACGTGGCAGTCCTGTAGATGTGAGACAGAGAAACAAGACAAAAGTCAGTGGAAACAAACCTGTGAAATAATTCCTAAATCTCCCAGTGAAATTATTCAGCGGAAACTCTGAAATAATTCCTTCATAGTTTTGTCAGCGGTTGTTACCTTGAGTCCACACACTGCCAGATAGTCCTCATTACAGGGGTTTCCTGTGAGACTAAGCACTGTGAAGGGGACTGGAGCGGAAGCCAGGCGAGTCAGAGTCAGTTTCCTCTTACTGGAGTCAGCCTGCTTCAACAGCGCAGACAACTGCAGAACTGTGATCTGCAAAAAATATAGCCAGCCTCCATGTAGTCACAATTAAACACGAAGTAGTGAAGACACAAACTCGTGTCCGGGATTTCTGGATTACCTTGCCCTTCTCATGGCTGACAGCAAGGTGTTGTCTGCGTCCGTGAGGGGACGACAGCACACACATGGCCACCCGACGCAGCACATGGGCGCTGATGAGCTGACGAATGGTCTGTCCTTGATCTCCACTGTAGTTCATCCTGACATTCTCAAAAGCACCCTCTTGTGAGCCCAGTGTGGGAACCTGGAGGATAAAAACAAGTTTAGTGTCAAGTATCGATGTGTGTGTTAGAATTAGTCTTCAGGTGTTTGGTTCATACCATGAGCTGATCTGTCATCTCAACCGTCTTGTCTTGAGTGTGTAATTCATTGAGAGCGTGCTGAGCCCGGCTGCTGCTGCCCACCGCCGATGCCTGCTGGAAATTGGTCTGAATGGCGTCCATTAGGAAAATGAGCAACTCCAGCACCAGGGCTGCTGTGGAGGAGCTCGCCTGCGAAAAATAATGATTGCAGTGAGTCAGATGCACTTCTAATATCAAAACAGATTCAGAGAATGAAGAGCGAAGAAATTCTCATACCACTTGGATAAGCAGATCCTCTCTGCAGCCCTCAATGTTTTTACACACGCTGCTCTTCTTAGGTTTGTCTTGGTCACTGCTCTTGCCATCACAGATGGTGACTTTTCCCTTGTCCGCGGGTGAAGAGCTCTGGTGACGGATGGCGCTCTCCGGCATGCGCAGCTCGCTCTGGAACGCCGAGGACTCCTTCATGGTGGAGCTCATTCCACTGCTGGGACTTCTTTTCACTAGAGCCTGTAAAACAAGGATACAGACCCAAGATCAGGGATGTGGGATACATTTCATTACTCAGACTTAATTACAAAGGATGTTTATGCCAGGAGGGGGAACCACAGGGAAAAGGGGATCAAATTTGATTGTTACATGCTTTGTGTTTCCATCAAGGAGACATGCATGAGTGGATATGGCTTAAATGTTGAAATGATCAACTGAAAATCTTTTTAATTATAAAATCAAGCGAAAATCTTAAGGAAATACTACAACTATATTGAAGATTAAAGGAACAGTTCACCCAAACATTACAATTGTTACATTTACTCAGCCTCATGCTGTTCCATACTTTTTCACAAACAAGGCATTAAATTAAACTAAAACTAAAAATGAAGTATTTAATTCAGTCTACTTTTTATAGAAGTGGTTTTATTTTTTAAATTAATTTTCTATGAGGGTTTGCAATTTTTGCAGCCATTTTACCAATCTAAATACAATTTGAAACCCAGATCGGCAAATTTCACAATTTTCTGGAAATAAACATTGAATAAAACTTGCATAATTTATAAATACATAAATAAACAGACTAGCATTCAAAAGTTTAGAGTCAGTTAGGGCTGGGCGATTTTTCCTATTTGACCGATTAATTAGAATTTAAAGTTTTGCCACGATTTAATTTTTAGAAATCGAGGAATCGCGATTTGGAATAGAAATATTACCAAATGTTAGAATTAGACACTTTGACAATATGCCAATGATAACAGTATAGAGAAAAGAACGATCCAACCGCATGTCGGCACACGTGATTAACCGCTCACGTGTGACGTGCTCATAGCGCTAAGCGCCATTCATACAGAATGCACTTTTGTGTTGACAAAGATGCGACGCGGGCAGTGGAATAGGAAAAACATGCAAGATGGGAGTGAACTTCTTTTAACTTGAGTGCCGCGTTTTTAGAATGCCGTTTCATGCAAGCGACGCGAGCGCAACAGTCAAACACGTCCATGTTTACATAGAAAAAAACAAAGGAAAAGCAGCGTAAGCGAATAAAAAAACCTGTAACTACTACTGTATGTCATATATTTTATGTTTGCATCATGGTGGCAAGCTGAAAGCTGCTGTTGTTTTTACAGAACATTTATAGTTAATAATAGTCTACTGGTGTTATACCTTTTCCCACCTGTTGTTATACCTTCAGTCATTCTGATACGTTGACTTTTGAGATTTTTTTAAAGCATTTTTCTCGTAGGCTATTATTTCTTAACATATAATATGTATAAGATAAGTTTGTCCAAGATGTAGTTGTAGTTCATGCATTTTTTCTGCAAAGATATTTAACTAATGATTTATTTAACATTTACATCTTGTTGACAACTTCATGTGTGGTGCACATGGAATAGAATTTTCTTGAGTCATAAAATCTTGAATCATGTTGTAGTTACATTTTCAAGTTGACTAGTTAAAAATCGAGACTTGGTCAAATGTTCTGAAAAAAGAAAAAGAGATTAAAATTTTTTGCCATACCGCCCAACCCTAGACTCAGTAAGATTATTTTTTAAGAAATTGATTTCTGAAGGATTTCAGGAGGATTATGTGACATTGAAGACTGCAGTAATGGCTGCTGAAAATATATTAAAATACTAAAATATATTAACATAGAAAAGCATTTTTTAAATGTAATAATATTTCACAAATGTTAGTTTTCACTGTATTTTTGATCAAACAGATGCAGCCTTTCTGAACATAACAGATGTCTTTAAAAAGCATTAAAAAATATCATAGACTCAAACCTTTAAACATTAGTATATATATTTGATAAGCTATCAAAAAAGGTTGCAAATTTAGTCGAAGTTAAACTTACTTAAGCCTATGCTACTTTTGGATCAAATGTTTGTTTGTAGTTTTTGGAAAAAAAGGGGTTGTAACGGGGATGAACTATTTACTTTTCTTTCATCCATGCAGTACAAAAAGACTAATGTGTTGAGAAATTTTAAGGAATGCTATATTTGTTGTTGTTGTAATAATCTAAAATCATGCAATAACAGAGTTGCACACAAGAAGTTGTAGACTTAAATATTGCATTCTTGATCAGTAAATGAACTGAATATTAATTCAATAGAATCTGAAATTATGACATTATTATTTAACTTCTTTTTAATTGTTACAGCTTGTGTGATATAATGCTAGTCTTCATTCAGTAGTTCTTTGCACTACTTGTTTTTTTTTTTTGTCTTTTATGAAGTTTAACAGCCATTATTACTTTGGAAACAGCTGCAAAACAACTCTTCCTGTGGGTCTGAAACAACACAAGTAAATGTTAATTTTTGGGGGGTGAACTATTCCTTTAACAACAATGAAATGGACTGAATTCATCTGAAGTAATATACTACCAAACTGTAGAGAATAAACTTGCTTAATTATCAAAAAACCAAAAGATTAAATGTTGCAAACCCTGATGAATTGAGGGAGGTCTGAAATGAGCTAATGGCAGTCAAAGATAAATGATTTGCAAGCCAAAGTTACCGCAGTTGCTCTTTTCCCATGATGACCTGAAGTATTCGGTCTCACCTGGCAGCTGCCATCCTCCTTGGCACCGCAGTCACAGAAGAAAGAGCCGTATTTGGCATAGGAGATCTCATGGTCTTTGTGACAGACCTTGGCACACACTGTGCACACACCTACCCCATCCACCATCTTACAGGTGTGACAGTGATACCTGTATGGGGAAGAGCAGGAGATTAAAGACCCACAGCACAGCTTCTGAACGCTTCTGTTGCATAGCAAAGGAATGCCGAGTCGATCCATTACCAGTGCTGGTTCATGAACTCCTTTTGTGTGATGGTGAAGGTGCACAGCTTATTGCAGAGTGAATCCTCATCCTAAAACACAAGAAACTCAGATATGATTGGAAAAATTGAAGCAATATTTAAATCTAAGGCACAGTGAGCAGACTGTCTTCTGACCGAATCTTCGGCCTGCGAGTCTTCCTCCTCTACGGCCAGCTCCTCCACCCAGTCAGAGTCAACTTCAATCGCCTTCTCCTCTCCCTCCATCAGAAGCTGGGATGAGCCCTGGCCACCGCTCTGCCTCAAAGCGTTCATCACATCTGCCAGGTAGGAAATGATGTGGCAGCCACACTCCAGCATGCTGGCATGCTGCACACAAGAGTGTTCACTTAAGGTCCGACACAAATATGTGCAAATGGTTACCATCAAAATGGACTTAACACCTACCTTGCCTTGTGACACATTGGCTGTAACTTTTTCCACAACATTCTTCTGATACAAGTATTTTTTACTGAAAGAAAAAGATGAAAAGGTCAGGTTTAGATTAAATTTGAGGTAAAAGACCCCATAAAATCAAGGTAGAGATTTTGTGGCTTCAGTCTGTGTGCGGTAGTTTTTAGGTCAAAACTTTTATATTCTTTGCCTTTTATTCTCTTCTAGGAAAAAATAGAAAGCACTCCCTTCTAGGGAACACGCACTTCAAAAGCGTGTTTGATAAAATGCTGTCATTTAAATGCAAGTATATTTGTTAAATCTAAATTGTATCTTATACTGAAACACACCTTATACTTATTTATTTACTATTATTATTATTTAAATGTAAAGTAAAATATTTTACATAATACTAATATTTTTTATAATATTAATATAACAATTTAAAATTAATATAATACTATTTTAAAATATTCATTATTATTCTGTTTTTATATATAATTTGTTTTCAGAATTTTTAACATTTAAAATATATCATTTCTAAATAATAGTTATTATTATGATTATTATTATATTTGTTTAAATATAT